GTTCTCTCTCTCTCTCTCTCTCTCTCTCTCTCTCTCTCTCTCTCTCTCTCTCTCTCCCTCCCTCTCTCTCCCCCCACCTTACAGTTTTGTTTTGTGATGCTGGGTTGGAACTCAGTCGGGCACCTTCCAGGCAAGTGCTCTGTCCCTGCACCACACTCCGCCTTGGGACACACCTCATCACATCAGAGTCCTTCCCTCACCCCTGAACACAGAAAACATCCAAAGACAACACAGAACCAGGATTCAGAGCCGCCAAGATAGGAAGAGACTAGAGCCGTCACCTACCACGATTCCCATGATTTCTTCTCCAGCCACCAAGCCCAGCAATCAGCACCCCTCAAGGTCAAGACAGGAAGGGCCCCGTGTTCTCATGGGTTCTACTGATGGTCCTCAATAAAGGTGACCTTGACTGAACCAAGGGGGAAAGGGATACAGTCCTCCAGCAAGCAGAGGGATGGCGCCCATCTCAACTGACCTCTCAACATGGTCCATGCCCAGACCAACTGTCTCCAGATCAAGACATTTCAGAACCCACCCAAGTCCTACCCAGGGTTAACCCCACAGGAGACAAGTGTTCCTGCTTCTCCCTGAGTTTGAACTAAGGTGTCCTTTCCAACCACTGTACCCTCTACAAAAGGACCTCTTCTCTACAGCAGGCTGGAAAACAAACGTGTGTTGGCATGGATGTGGCCGAGTGGACTCACAGGTGTACTACCAAAAAGCAACTGATTATCTGAGGAGTTTAATCAGCCTGAACTTGTCAGGCAGCCGGGTGGTTCCCTTGCAAATCGATGTTCCCAGCAGGCTGTGGCCGAAGGGTTCTGGCAGGGCTAGGCCGGAGCAGGAGATGGACAAAGGTGTTGGGTAAGGACAAGGCAGGGCAGGGCCACTGAGGCAGGCTTAGGGAGCCCGCCACAGGATGAGTTCTGTGATTTCCGCCCTGCTCCCCAACCTCATGGGTATCCCATAGTAGGCCGTGCCTGGACTGACATACACAAATGTAGCCTGGCCTACTTGGTAGAGTCCAGCAAAGAAAGGGTTCAGGAGATAGGCTGCGACATTCCAGGGGAAGATCTGCCCGGCGTGAGTGTGCCCAGAAAGAATTAAGTTTATATCGGGCCGAGCCTGGAGGGCTCTCTTGGCAGCCAGAGGCTGGTGAGCCAGCAAGATGGTGGCGCTGTCTGGGCTGCAGCCCTCCAGAGCTTTGTCAAGGTCCATGCCGTGGCCGGCGTAGTGAAGGATGTCCGCTTCTATGTCATCCACGCCCGCCAGGCAGACCCACTCTTTATCAGCCCCACCACCGTCCTGGTCCCTGGGGGCAGAAATCTTCACGTTCTCGTTATGCAGAGGTCGGACATGCAAGGATTCTAGCAGTGCGAACCAGTTGCTGACATCCGACGTGTAGTATTCGTGATTACCCGTGACGAAGTAGGTGCCCAGACGGGCACGGAGCTGGCCCAAAGGAGCAACTGCCGTCCGCAGGGTGGAGGCCTCTGAATCGGAGAGGTCACCCACGATCACGGTGATGTCGGGCTCTAGCCTGTTCACCATCCTTACAAACATCTCCATCTTGGTTCTGCCCACCGTGGGCCCCAAGTGAATGTCCGAAAGGAGCACAATCTTGAGGTTATTCATAGAGGCGGGTAGCTGATGGATGGGCACCTCCACGGTTTTCACCACTGGGGGCTGGGCAGCATTCAGAAGGCCAATGGTACTGAGTACGGCTGTCACTGCCACCGCCAGGGCAGGCCTGAGCACCAGGTGCCTTGTCTTGTCAAGGCTGCCCACCACCCTACCAGTGCGCCAGGCTAAGAACTGGTAGGCCTGCTCCATGGCGTTCAAGATACAAAGGAAGAAAACCATAATAATGTAAGCACCCAGGCAGGAGTAGGCTGCTAAGGAAAACACATAGGGTTCCTCGGCCACCAAGAAGAGCATGGTGAAGAAACTGGAATGTGCCAGGGCCAGAAATGCCACGACAACCAGCTTCCAAAGCTGGAAACAGGTGGATTCCACAGCAGGGGAATGGCTGAGGCTGCTCACCGTGCTCCGCCAGATGTACAAGGAACCAATGAGCATGAGGGAGTTGACAAACAGGGCCAGCTGCAGGCGGAACAGCCAGCGCCAGGCCCGGAGCTCGAGAGTCTCAGCCAGAAAGGAGCGGGAGAGGATCATGGACACGAAGACAGTGGCTGCAGCCAGGGCAGCCTTGGAACCCAGGGACAGCTGCCTGAAGAGTACCATTCTCTCAGCTCCCAGAGAGTCCCCAGCAGCCCAGGGCAGGCGGACTCGGGAAGGCAAGTGACTTCTTTAGAAAGGACAGTGGCCAGTGAGAGACTTCCAGATGAGCTCCGCCTGCAACCAGGAACTGGCATCAGCTTTGTGGGATAGATTATTAAAGCATCCTCATCCCCATCCAACAAAAGCCCACAGACCACTTACACAGCTCCAACCTGCCTCAAGTCCAAGCCACTAAAATATGAGTTGGTTGCTATGCTTTATTATTAAAATACACCGCAATCACGGCGTGATGCGTGATGGATAGTTTTATTTTGTTCTTTCCTTCTTTTTATTCTTTTTTATGACAGGTCTCACATAGGCCAAGTTGGCCTTGAATTCACAGCATAGCTAAGTATATCTGAATTGCCAATCTTCCTGCCTCCACCTAACAAGTGCTGGGATTATAGGTGTGCTCTGCCATGGGTGGTTGGTTTATGTGGTTCTGAGGATGGAATCCCAGGCTTCATGCATGCTAGGCAGGCACTCTACCAGGCAGGCCACATCTACAGCCTCAGTGCTCATTGTCCTAACAGTGTTTCATATGTTTAAAGGTTCCCCTCAATGGGTATGAATTGTTTCCCTTTTTTAATAATAGGAAAAACACTCTAAATTATCAGCTCTCAGCATGAAGTCTAGGGAAAATCTCTCCCTAAGTCAAAACTCTTTTCGTAACAGTATTAAACATCACTGCCTTTCCATTCTCACTCTTTCTGTGAGTGCACAATAGAGTTTTTCAAAGACCACCAACACGTGAGTTCACTGCAGACTGCAAAGGTCAACATAAAAAGCTGACTTCTGGGCCTGGGGCGTAGCTGAGTTGGTAGAGTGCTTAGCGCAAACAAAGGCCTGGGTTCCGCCCTCCTCACTACATAAACAGGCACCTGAGAGGGAAAGGCAGGAGGGTCAGAAGTTCAAGGCTATGTTTGACTACATACCAAGTTAGAGGTCACCTTGGGCTTCATGAGACCTTGTCATTAAAAACAAAAGAACAGACTTAGCGTAACTACAACTCTGTCTGAAAATTCTGAGACATTTCTTTTTCATACAATGTATTTTGTGCAATTGGTTTATGACTTCTTTTTTTTTTCTTTTTCTTCTCTTTTTTTAAACTTTATTTTATATGCATTGGTGTGAAGGTGTCAAATCCCCTGGAACTAGAATTACAGTTGTGAGCTGCCATGTGGGTGCTAGGAATGGGTCCTTTGGAAGAGCAGCCAGTGCTCTTAACCGTTGGGCCATCTCTCCAGCCCGGTTTATTATGGCTGGCTGCTGGTGTTGCACTCTGGGAGGTGGAGCCAGGCAGATCTCTGAGTTTGAGGCCAGCCTGGTCTACAGAGTGAGTTCCAGGACAGTCAGGGCTATACAGAGAAACCCTGTCTTGAAAAAACAAAAAAAAGAAAGCACGCATTTTAAATTTTCATCTAGGACTAAAGTTTGAGAGTTAATGTTGCAGATGCAAACAAAAAAAACAATGGAAAGCTATATTCGACTGGTATCTCTCTTTGACCCTAGTCTAAGGGCTCAAGATGGTACCTAGATTCTCCATGAGACAGCAACCTCTGCAGAGGCCTCTCCCAGGGCCTCTCCCACTTCTTACCTAACGAATTACACCAGGCCGATGACCTCCGTAAACTCTTACCTCTTCCTGTCCATACTGATACTGAAGGAATTATGGGTTCCTTTCTGCCCTCTACCCTACCTGTTCCCATGAGCCTCTGCCCATTGGTTCTCAAGGATGGCACGCTCAGACGGAGCAGCAGGCACTCAATTTGCAATAACCCTTTCCTTAAATGAAAGCATTCTCAGCAACTCTTTTTCAAAACTTATAAGTTTCAACTCTGGTTTTAGATAAACGTGTGCCATTTCCAAGAGCGTAATTTTGGCAAGTTGTAAGGCTTAAAGTCTACTAACTTGTACGTTAACTTACCCCCGACTCAGTCCATCTGGACGGCCCCAAGCTGATTCGTTCAAAATGCAAAGTAGCAGCAACTGTGTTCCACCACGCACTGTCCCCTTCACAGGTTCGGTGCGAACCTCCCCGGCTGCCGTGTCCAACGCGCCTCAGCCCCCCTCTCCCCCCCGCCCTGCCCCCAGAGATCTCGCCTGGGGCAGTTTGCCTCTTCCCACCCTCAACTTTAAAAGAGGAAAGGCTTCCAGAAAGGCAATGAACACCCCAAACTAAAAGCAGCCAGCAGGTGGCTAGCAAGAAGCTGACAAGATGTTTGAGAAGGGCGATGTCCCCTAATTCAAATATTCCTGTGACCCCACTGCAGGAACCTCTCCTGACCCCATTTTTCTCCTTCCGGAGCGCTCCGTGAAGCCCGAACTCCGCAAGGATCGCGCCCCACGCCACGGCCCGAGGAGCCCTCCCGCAACCCCGCGCAGCCTGGAGCCCCTCTCCCCAGAAACCGAAGCTGGAAAGATGCGGGCGCACCTCAGCTAACCCCCGATCGCGTTGCACAAACGGGGAAGCAAGTCCGCGCGCAAGGCACCGCCGCAGCGGAACCCACGCGCGCCAGCAACCAGGAAGGACGCGCGCCCCGCCGGCCGGCCCGCCCCCTAAGGGAGGCCTGGCCACTGCCTGCGCCTCGGCGGCCCGCCTGCTCCGAGGGGTGACTGAGGGTCCCCCGGATTCCCGCGTTGCAGAGCCGCGGCTTCCCTGGGCCTCTGGCCGCTTCCCAGCGCCGGAGCGTCCCCGCGCGGTGGCACCGAAGACTTACATGGACGCCTTGCGCAGCGCCCAGCAGGAGCGACGCCAGTAGCAGGAGCAGCGTGCACAGCGGGACCCGGAGCCATGACGGCGATCGGGTGGAATCGCTCCACTCGGCCATGGGCACTCTGGCCAGCCGCTCCGGCTCCGGGCCTGAGGACCCTCAGCCAGGACCCGCCCCAGCAGGACCCGCCTCCCGCCCCGCCCCCCCCCGCCCCCCCGCGGCTCTGGGCTCCGAGCGCAGACCCAGCCTCTCCCGGCCACGTGACTCCGGAGCAGCTGTTGTTTAATCATTGCCCGCATCTGCGTGTCCCTCTGGAATGGCGGTTCCCCTAAATCAGCCTTGATTGAGCGCAGGGGCTGGTCATCCACCGGGGCCCTCAGGCTGTCTCGGCTACCAAGAAAGAACGGAGCCGGGAAACAGCCAGTCCCCACTGCCCCCAGCAGTAGAAGCCTAGCCCCGTAAACCCTCCCTAGCACGTGGTCTGACGCTCACAAAGTGTGGTCCACAGGCCAGGCCACTCAAATTTGGGAAAGGGGTCCTCGAAACAGAGACTCTAGGACAGGACCCAGCTCTGAGTTTCAGTGCATGCTAAAGTTGGAGAAGCGCTGCGCCAGGTTATTGAGGGATTCTAAGTGTGACTCGGCTATGGGGAAGTTATTTTGAACTGCCAGCCCCAGGCTGCCTCGAATTTTAGTGGTGAGAAAGAACAGTGGCACTTCCCACTGTTAACTTCTGGTCTACTGCCTCGTGAGTGCTGGAATTACAGTCACGTGCCGCCACCTCTGGTTTAAGTGAGGTTGATTTAAATAGACATACTCAAGGTTTTCCAGCTTTAATGGGTTGTCGTCTAACAATATTCATTTATTTCAGGCCTTGTTTCATTTTTATTTATCTATCTATCTATCTATCTATCTATCTATCTATCTTTTATCTATCTATCTATCTATCTATCTATCTATCTATCTATTTATTTATTTATTTTTGTTTTGTTTTGTTTTTCGAGACAGGGTTTCTCTGCGTAGCTTTGCGCCTTTCCTGGAGCTCACTTGGTAGCCCAGGCTGGCCTCGAACTCACAGAGATCCGCCTGGCTCTGCCTCCCGAGTGCTGGGATTAAAGGCGTGCGCCACCACCGCCCGGCAATTTTTATTTATTTTTGCAGTGCACAGGTCCTCATTAATACCAAGCAAGTATTCTACTATTGGACCATACCCCTAAATCCCTATTTTGTTCTTTTCTTTATTTGTTTTCTCTTATTTAGCTATTTATTTTTCTGAGACAGCTTCTCACTATCCTCTGACCTCCACATGTACACACAAATATACACTATATACATGTAATATAAGAATAAATAAACAAAACTGTTCTTTTGCAGGGGTGGTGAGACAGGCTTTCTCTGTGAAACAATCCTGGCTATCCTGGAACTCACTCTGTAGCCCAGGCTGGCCTCAAACTCACAAAGATCCACCTGCCTCTGCCTCCCGAGTTCTGGAATTAGAGCCATGTGCCACCACAACCCTTTTTTAGAATATTTATTCATTTACTTTTTAAGTGTATTGGTGTTTTGCCTGCATATGTATGCCTGTGTAAGAGTGTTAGGAACTGTAGTTACAGACAGTTGTGAGCTGCCATGTGGCTCCTGGGAATTGAATCCAGGTCCTCTGGAAGAGCAGCCAGTGCTCTTAATCTCTGAGCCATCTCTCCAGCCCCTAATTTAAGCTTTAAAAAACAGGATCTCAAGTAGTACAGACTGTACTCAAACTTACAACAGTTTTGTTGTTGTTTTGGCTTTATAAGAAAGGGTCTCACTATGTAGCTCTGGCTGCCCCGGAACTCTCTATGTAGAACAGACTGGTCTTGTGTTGTACAAATACTAATTGGTCTTATAATAAAAACCTGGAGTCGGATATGGGGTAAATGCTGAAAGATGAGAGGGAACAAGGCATAGCTATTTCTCACCTCACCAGCTCCTCAGCCAAAAGGGGAAGATCCTGTCTCCATGAATACTTAGACTGAATGACCCTGATCCCTCAGCCTAAAGAACCCTCCCCCCCCATCTCCTGTCTCCTCTGGCCTTATATTCCTTTCTCTGCCCAGCCATATCACGTCTTAACCTTTCTAGTGCTGGGATTAACAGTGTGAGCCATCACCGCCTGGCTCTGTTTCTCTTTTAGACTGGATTAATCTTGTGTAGTCCAGGGTGGCCTGAACTCGCAGAGATCCATCTGCCTCTGCCTCCTGAGTGCTAAGATTAAAGGTATGTGCCACCACTGCCTGGCCTCTATGGCTAACTCTGTGGCTAGCTCTGCTCTCTGATCTTCAGACAAGCTTTATTTGTTAAAGCATATACAAAATATCACCATAGTCTTGAATTACAGAGATCTGCCTGCCTCTGACTCCCAAATGCTAAGATTAAAGGTGTGTACCACCGTGTCCACTCTCACATTCTATTTTGATAAATAAATGTGTCATTAAATTATGTAAGTGACATATGAGACTTTAAAGTCCTCATGCCATTTTCTCACCTGGACCTCCAGTTTGACCATTACAGTTAGTTCTATACTGGGGGTACTGGGGTGGCTCATAACGCTCCAGGGACTGAGGCAGGAGGATTGCCACAAATAAGAGGCTAGCTTGGGTTACCTGTCACTTTAGACAGACATCCCTAGACCTGATGTCTCTAAGCGCCTCACTTGCACACTGGCTGCATGCTCATAATTGTATGCTCATTTAGGGCCCAGATAGATTGAAAGTCTTCATTTCTTTTTTCTTTCACAACAGGGTTTCTCTGTGTAGCCCTGGCTGTCCTAGAACTCACCCTGTAGACCAGGCTGGTCTCGAACTCAGAGGTCTGCCTGGCTCTGCCTCCAGAGTGCTGGGATTAAAGGCATGTGCCTCAGCCACCACCCAGCTTCTTCCTTCAAATTTTAATGTGCAAGAATAAACTTTTCTTGGGTTTGGGGGATGGTGCAGCAGGTTAAGGCTGTGAAAGCCTGATGACCTGTGGAAAGAAATGGTTCCATCCAAGTCCAGCTTGGTAGATCATTGATTTTACTGGGGTTAATTACAGGAGCCTGGGTGACTCAAAAGCAGTTGCATTAGAGAAACATGTCACCCACACATGGTTGAGGCATGTGTCACGAGGTCTTGACCCCTCAACCTTCCTCTTCTTGTACACCCAGCGTTCCCCAAGGTCATCAGCAGATGGGTACAGGGAGGAGGAATGGTGACAGGAATCCCAGGGGAGGGTCTGGTGACCCTGTCTCCAGACCCATGACTACCACATTACAGCTGGCTGTCATTGCTTTGCTTATTTTGTTCCATGGCTGCAAGACCCAAGTATTGTTTGGTCCCCTCTGCAACTTCTGCTTCCTGATGACAGTCACATCATTTGAGAAGGAAACAGTGACACCACAACCCTCCACCCCTTCCTCCGGCTCTTAAATTCTTTCTACCGCCTCTTCAGCCATGTTCAGTCTTTGAAGGAGTGATGTAGATAGGATTCTTTTCTAAGCATTGGGACATTATACCAAAACAACAGCTGCCTGCTTATTCCCACCAGCATGACTGGTTATCAATCTCTGTGGTCACCTCTCCACGGTTACCTCCACCCATACCAGAAAAGAGATTTCCTGGACCTCAGCTGAAAAGTCCTATACGGACGTAAACACAAACATGCATCTACTTACCAAAAAAACAACCTTAGCCTCCCCCTGGTGCCTACAACTAGCCAGTCACAGGGTTTGGTACATATAGTACCAAACTTGAGTTTTCACCTCTGGAGTGGGTGGAGTCTCAAATCCAGCCAGAAAGTAGTTGGTTGTACCTATAACTGTCAGGACACTGCTGCAGGTAGAATAAATACCTTGCTCACGTGTCGGTAATGTGCTAAGTGGGGTCCAGAGCTGAGAAGGACTGACAGCAGCAATTCTTTCTGGGCAGTCTGCATCATTCCTTCTGGTACTATGTATGCCAGCCATCAGGAAGGAGGCCTCCAGCTCTGCCCCAGTCGCTGTGCCCTGCAACTAGAGGGTATAGTGTTTGGGCAATAAGGATCTGTCATCCTGTTCTGGTGTGCAACAGTGGCAACGGGTAGCCAGAGCTTTCAAATGCTGAGGTGTTGTAACCCACTAGGTTTCCTAGTGGCTGTACCCAGCAGTACTGCCTAAGAGGCTGACTGGACCATGGGCCTGGGTACCAGGTGTTTGTAAGGGTCTACACTTGACTGTAACTAGCAAGAGGGAGGTCTTTTGCTCCACCCCTTGGCATTGTTATAAATAGACCTTTGGAATGACGTTCTGGGCTGGTGGATAAGGATCCAGGTCCACTCCAGTCTATCCTGTGTTTTCTCTCTGTTTCTCTCCCCTCTTTGTTCCTAACTAAGTTTCTTATTCCTCATTCCTCAAGAGTCCCTGGGGTTAGCCGGGTGGCGGCGGCGGCGGCTCTCTCCAGCCCCTTTTTCTCAAACCCCCACATTATTATATTTATGCATTCATGTGTGTATGTGGGGGGTACATACATGCCAAAATGAACATGTGGAGGTCAGAGGACAACTTGCAGTAGTGAGTTCTCTTCTACCATGTAGGTCACAGGGATCAAACTCACGTTGTCAGGGTGATTTTACCTAGTGAGCCATCTTTCTGGCCCCACTGAAAGGAAAAATATCAGTTCAGGATCTCCAAGACCAAATTCACAGACCAAGTTCTTAGCACAAAGGAGATTTATTTGCCCCAGAGGAACAGAGGGCAGGGATAAGGGACAAAGACAGGAGATAGAGGCAGAGGAAGGGAACAGGGAGAAGCAGCAGGGATATTTGTCCCAGATGACAAAGGACTGCCCCTGGATAGAGAGGAGACAGGAATGGCTGTTGTGTCCCGCTCATCCTGTCGAACGGTTCTAAAGGGAGGAGGGTGGAATTGGGAAATGACAGCTATGAGATATAGATGTAGATGAAGAAAAAGACACAGGATAGCTTCAGGAGGGCTCTGGATCAATACCACAGACACCTGAGTTTATTACTCACAGTCTTTATATACCCAAGGCAAGGGGGCAAAAAGACCTCCCCCTTTCAAGGACATCACAGTTCAAGGTACAAAGTACAGTCAAGTGTAAACATCTCCTTAGTACTCAAGACATCTGGTG